GCCCTCTTGTAGCTTTGCACGAAATTCAAAACAAACAAACAAACTTTAGCTGCAGTGGTTGCTAGTATATCTAAGGTCGCTAATCAAATTTTATGCACGTAATTTAAGTTAAACTAAACAGAGAAATACCAGGAAGTTATTAATGGAATCCACACGTGTATTTGTCAGGACAGATGGTTGGCTGATTAGAACAAACATCATTCAGCATCGTGTATACCGGAGATGTATGTCCTATAAAGTAATAGGCGTGTAAGAGATACGCCAAAATTCTGTGTGAAATTCAGGAGGGTGAACAAAGTAAAGCATAATGATGATGTGCTGCACGGATAAATGTTTTGATGCATTGGAAGAATCACACTAGCTCAGTTTGCTAGACCTCACTTCTGGCATGTTGAGCTAGATAATGAAATCAGTGACAAAAAAGACTGCTTGCACCATTCGAGAATGATTATGTTAATTTTGCATCATGCCATTCAGACTTTGTAATGTGCCAGTTACTTTCGAGCGGCTTATATGATTTGCAGTATGTATATTTTACAATAGAATTGATGTCTAATTTATATCAGGCTGCTGTTGAAAATCTAAGGATGATATTTTAATGTTTGTAATAGGCAGGTCTGAAAGCAAAACCAGATAAGTATCTCGTGAGGATCTATATAGAGTTTAATGAGTAAAGATGTAGTCTCTGTGGATCCTGCTAAAATATAAGCAGACTGGACCAAACTTACAAAAAAGGAGGACATCTGAAACACATTTTGCTATGTATCAAATTAGAGATGCTTTGTGTGGTCAACGTTTCAGCAATATCACACTATATTTAGAATTAATAAAGTGAGATAAACTGAAGAGTGTATAAAGTCACGAAAGTCACTAAAATGTGCCTTAATTGATACTCTGGCATTAGCTTATCTGAGGAGAGAGATATACCATTTATTTTATCCTGAGTACAGATGGCAACAACAATAAAATCAGAGCACTGCTGTCATAAGTACAAAATAGTGTAGAGCATGTAATATGTACATGAGTTACATATTATTATTTGACAAACGCCACCGTTGTACATCGAAGGAAGATCAAAAAAGTTGATTTGAATCCTAATTTATCATTTGATTCACCGCTTGTCATTGAGTTATTCTAGTTTGTAAATTCTACCCCTCATTAGTAACCCTGGACAAGGGCGAATCAAAATAATAAGACTATACATTAAACATTATATGTATAGTGTTTGGAGATGTCATTTACTCACACAGCGATCCTATATTTATATAATAATTTCAATAATATACAGCACTGATGCTACTAATTTATTCTTGTGAATTATTCCGCCGACAAGCTGATGAGGAGTGAAATTACCCGAAAATGGTATAACTCAGTTACAACTAGTAAATCGAATGGTGGTTTGGGCTTCACGTATATTTTAGATAGCTTATCGGCTGAACAATTCACAAGTATAAATTAGCAGCATCAATACTACATATTCTTAAAATAAATATGAATTATAAAATAAAGCTGTGCTAGCGTTATTGGGCGTTGGTAAGTCCAAATATCTTTGGTACATCTTTGAAAATGAAAGTACTAAAATAGGTTATCGTTTTTATTTCGCTGAGAATTTTTATGACGTTTCAATTTTTGTCTTCAGCTTTAGGATTAACTATTATCATTTATCACAATGTTGTATAGTAAATTTATCCTTTTCAGAACACATTTTATCAACGGCTCTAAAATTTTGTTAAGTAAAACCAGATGGCGTTTAATGTAAGCACGTGTGCGTGTGGTTACTAATCTGTTAGTTGGTGATTACCTAGAAGTGTATAATAATAATAATAATGTGTACAGAATTGAATACAAATATTGAAGTCATTGTCGGTACATATGAGGAGTTTCTCTTAGGATACAAGCTTTGCTTTTCGCCGTCATCTAAGGTGAGTTTGCAGCTAATTTATTTTTGGCACAGTTTGTGTAACGTCGAGTAAATACTATGCACTACTTTATCAATTAAAAATTAAATACATTTTGAATGGTCACTTAAACAATATATCATTCACTTAAAAATTAAAGATCATTTGAATGCATTAAATTATCAACTTAGAAATTAAAGATTAATATTTTACATTTATTTTATTTAATTAAATATATTATTCACCGTGTGAAGACATCAACTGTCATGGGGCTTCTGGGGTAAGGCGAAGGAGCTGGCACTGTTGTAATTGGTGTCTGAGGAAGAGTATCCCGATGCTGCAGGCAGACCTATGGAGGCTTCACTACTGGTGGAAGTATGATTTCGTCTGGGTTTTTTGACAGGGGTTTAAAAAAGTCAGATATTTTCCCCCGTTTGTAATTGCTTGATGACATCTGCTTTCATATCTCTCAAAGTTGCATAGTGCTGTTCCAAATCAGGCAACTGCTCAACTGCCTCCAGTTGCTTGGGAGAATTTGTGAGGCTCTTCTTGCATAGTTAGAAAGCCTGAATACTTTTCAGGGATTCCGAGTTATCAAGGGATTACTGTAATTGTATTGGACTCTCTTGGATTACTTGATAAAAATGCAAAGTCCAGGCTATGTAATGATAATGAATTGCTCTAATATTTCAATAAAGATTTGCTACAACCACATTCTGCAGGACTAGTTTAATAAATAAACTTTTCAAAATGAACTCAGAAACTATTGTAGGTGTAACTTCAAATATACTGTTTCAAAAGAAGTTCTATGAATAATGTTACTTATGCCTAACTTATTTATAAAATTACTTTGCAAAGCTAATCAAGCTATAAACAAAATGCTAACTCATCAAGGAACTGAATAGTAGAATATCTAAGATAACTCTCACTGCATCTCTGACATAGAACTAAATCACTCGCTGAACAGTTCAGTGACTTCTCATTCCGTGATTACTTGTATATATATATATATATATATATACTATTTATATATATATTGTTAACCTTTTTATTTTACTATATTTCACAAAGCTTCTGTTT